GAGCTGCACGCAGCCTGCGCGCAGCAGCAGCGGGCGACGAAGCCGGCTCTCAGGTCGCCCGACAGGCGTTGCGTTGGCATGTGGTTGCGAATGAGCATCCTGGCAGCGAGGGGCGCGTTGCGACTCTTCGCCGCTCCATGCTTTTCAAGACCTGAAGAGCACAAGTTGTCCCGACGGCCGTTCCCTTGCTCAGCTCCGTCGTCAGCTTGTTCATGTGCAACGTCTCTATATCGGTGCAGTCTGTCGTACAAAAGGGCGTTGGGGCTGGCAGAGTCCTCGGGCGACCTTCCTCTTGGAGAAGCCCGCGTGGGTTCTCCTGCTTCTGGTGCCGTTTCCACCTTAATTTACCAGCCTCGAACTTATCCTTATCCCTGCGATTGACACGCCAAACGGCGATGACAATATTTGGGATACACCCTCAGAAACTGAGGGAATCCTTAAGATCGCCATCGTGATGAGGCGATGCCGAACATAGGGATAGGGATATGCTCCAGGCTGGTAAGTAATCGGATTTTCCCTGGGGGTTCTGGAACGCCTGAGCCTCTGGCTCCAGCGGATGCTCTCTTGCAGAGAGAGAGAGAGAGAGAGAGAGAGAGAGAGCCGACGCGCCAGCAGCCTCGCCGAGGCACCGAGAGGCCGACGGCCACGCCCCAGCGCCCGCGGGCCCCGTGGCGTCTCCCCTGCAGTCAGCCCGCATGCCCAGGATGCGCGGTGAGGATGCCAGGGCCCTGGGGTGCCACGCTGACGCTTTCTCGAGCGAGGTTGGCCAGCCAAGGCGGCCAAGGGTAGACCGTGGAGGCAAGGCTGCAAGGGTACCCCTGGGAAGGTTGCCCATCCTTACTGTGCGGGTTGACTGTGCCCTTTCGGTTCTTGAAACCGGCTCCAGGTATGGGGCGAGGCGGCCGGCCGATGAGGGGCCCGAGGAGGCCCGTCGACAGCGCGTGCAAGCTACTGTACAGCTCAAGAGCCCGTCCCCCGAAGAGTTCGGTCGCAGCGTACGCCAGCACGTCGCGTTTGACAGTGCTATATACACAGCTTCTAAGGATGCAGGAGAGGCTCGCAATGCTGCCGATCAGATATTGCTTCCCTCGTATGTTTCGGCCGCCCGGAGCGAAGCCAGGAATACGGTCGGCATGCAACATGTCCGAGCGAGAGAAAGGCCAGCCTTCGTCCCCGAGGGCAAGCAGCGACGCACTAGACCTGACAGGAACAGTCGGCAGCCTTTGGCCGAGTTCACGGCTCCCGCTGCCCAAGTCCCGACCTCGGGCATCATTCCCATTCCTGCTTCGTTTTCGCGAGGTCACAGGCTGTGGGTCTCTCTTGGACAGTGTGTTGTGCGTGTCTCCTGCGGTTTCTCTTCCACGGGATTTCCTGGGCATGAAGTGGTGGACTGTCGCCCTGACGAGGCGCACATTACATGTCCGGAAGAGCCGTTAGGAATCGATGCGTGTTTTTTTGATGGGCATGTTTTCCACCACCACCACCATAACTTGGAGGGGGGAAGGAGGAGGAGGAGGAGGAGGAGGAGGAGGAGGAGGAGGAGGAGGAGGAGGAGGAGGAGGAGGACCCCCTCCCCCTCCAACTCATGGTGGTGGTGGTGGAGAGCAGGCCCATCACTTTTTTGCTGGGGGGCACACTGCCGAGGAACGGCGGGTTGACGAACGGCCCATCCCCGGGCCCAGGCTGCAGGGGCCGTGGATCCCGAGGGGTCCCTGGCTGCGGCTCCTCGTCGGGCCTCGGCCCCCCGAGCCAACTTTGGGGCAGCCCGGCACTCCTTCGGCATTCTCCTCCTCGTAGCGCGAGGTTGCCCCCTCCGTATGCCATGCTGCTCGTGCGCCGCTGCCGAGATCTCCTTTGAGCGGGCTGCGCTGCATTCTCCTGGGGCTTGAGGGGGGCCTTGCTGGGCCCCCTCCTTCTCATGTGCCCGCCAGTGCTGACGCGCGGCGGCCGCCATCATTGCCTTATCCTCGTCGTCGTCCTCCTCCTCCTTGTCCTCCTCCTTCTCCTCCTCCTCCCCTTGAGTCTTCTGGGACGCGCGAGTTTACGTGGTGGCTACCCATGCACGCGAGTCTGAGCCCCCAGTTTCGGCCACGCTCGCAGGATAGCCCAGCTGCGTTATCGTGGATACACAATTCAGCTTTCTGGGCGGCGGACATTCAGGTCCCGTACCCCTGCTCTCTCCCCCTCCTCCCCCTGGCTTCTTGCCGCCTCCTCGTCTCCCTCATTCTCCTCATGGATGCGGTAGTGTATCTGTCACCGTTTGGCTGACTCAATGTAGTCGCCGTTCGAGGTTATGCGGCCGTGCAGTGTCTATTTGATTGCCCACAATTCCGTCCCTCTTGAATCACGTTGTCCGCTCCTCTATCCCCTCATAAAGTAAGAAACCAGCGCCACCCCCATTAGGGGAAACGTTTTTTACGTGGCAGTGCTTGGTTTTGCATCGCTTTGCTTGGTATTGCATTGTTTCGCATGGCTTTACATTGCTTGGCTTGGTTTTGCATCGCTTGGCGTTGCTCTGCATCGCGTAATGTTCCTTGGTATTGTGTGGCGTTGCTTGGCATAGCTTGACGTTGTGTGGTGTTGCTCGGCATTGCTTGGAGTTAATTTGCATTGTATTGCTTGGCATTGCTTGGCGTTGCTGGGCAGTCCTGGGCATTTCTGGGCATTGCCTGACATTGCTTGGCGCTGTTTGGCATCAATTGGCGTTGGTTTGCGTTGCTTGGCGTTGCTGGGCACTGCTCGGCATTGTGTTGCGTTTTCTGCATTGTCTGGTACTGCTCGTCAGCCCAGGGGGGCGGCTCGTCAAAAAACAGAAAGGGGACAAGACCAGGGAGCCTGGGGAATCCGATGAAGGCCAGCCTTTCAAAAGCAGTAGGGAAACAGGACCAAAGAAACCCTGTGGAAGCCGCGGCAAGGCGGCCGGCGCAGGCCTGGCACCCACCAGTTTACTCGAACGGTGGTGAGCATTTTGTAGGCAGGCCCTTTTGGTGAAGCAGGCGGGGGAGAAGGGACGTGGGGCAGTGCGAAGGGGGGAGGAAGGAGGAGGAGGAGGAGGAGGAGGAGGAGGAGGAAGAGGAGGAGGAGGAGGAGGAGGAGGAGGAGGAGGAGGGGGAGGGGGAGATGCTAGGGCGGACGGGGGGTAGACATGGGGAAGGGCCGGAGAGCGCGTGGCGGCGCGGGGCGGGGGCGGGCCTCGGCGGCAGCAGGGGGCCTCTCGCACGGGCGGAAGAGAGCCTGCGTCCGCGGGCAGGTGCGCGATGCCTGTCAGGAGGGAAAAACACACACAGACAATTAATCGTCGATTCCCCAGAAAATATAGGAAAATATGAGAAGTGGGGGGGAAGACAAAGACCCAGAAAATCTGGGACAATATGGGGAATCCTTTTATTTGTGTGCATTTATTTGTGTGTCCCAGGGCCCCTTCAGCCTGCACGAGCAGCATCGGCTCACGTCGGAAACTGGAGCACATACATTACCAGCGGCGGACGGTTTATCAATCCCTGGATTTTTGTGGGGTCGAGGACGACACGTCGGGGCGGTGTGGTGTATACTTGTTTCCCCGCTTTCCCGTGGGAACAACGAACAATGCATACACCAGCATGCCGTATACACCAGAATCCGTTTTCCTGTGCGAGTTTCAGTGCAGGGCCCGAAAAAGCGTCGGTGTACCGAGTTCGGTTCCCTATCACGGGCCCAGGGCAGCTCAAGAAGCGTCGTTCCTCCTACGACTGAAGGGCTGCATCTTCAGACGCCCAGCATCGAGGTCGCGCCCCCAGGTTCGCTTGCGCGGCGGTGCGCGATAAGATCGGATGTCAGTCCCAGCAGCTCTCGCACGGGATCCTGGGGGTCCTGATGCGCCCAGAGCGCGGCGTGCGCCATCCCGAAGTTTCGAATACCATCTCTTGATTGCGAGGAGGATGCCTGGATGCCTCGGTTTCCGTGCAGATAGCGTCTCCCAGTGCGCCTCGGGGGAGTCAGCCTTGACGGCGCGGCGTGGCCTGCCGTTCCATGTCCGTTCCTGGGCCGACGGCGTATCCCTCGGACGGGGCCAGGACGAGGATAACATCCGTTCCAGAGCGTTCCAGAACGCTCTCAGAGCGCACCGGAGCGCTCTGAGAAGGCCGCGGCGCCCGAGACATCCTCCAGCGCCGCCGGATCTCAGAGATTCCCGGACGATCCTCGCCCCAAGTTATCTTCGTCCCGGCTTCGTCTGACCAGAGGGGTCTCGGATGGCGCCCGTCCCATGGGGCTCGCGATGGGCGGCGGCGGCTCGGCGCGGAGGCCCCGCGCGCTCCTCGGACGCCCTCTGCTCCCCAGAGGCGCCCGCCGCGATGGGCCGCCGCAGGCGCCGCCCGACTTCCTTCCACGCCGACTTAGCCGATGCATCGACGATTGCGGCGCGATCCAGCGACCCCATCTACTCGGACCCCATCTAGGATGCCTCTTGTGGTGAAGGCTAGACCTCTAGCAGCGCCCTGCGCCCCGACCCTCTAGAGCTGGCCCCCAGGAAGGTTCGAAATATGGAGCGTACGGGAAGTGGAGGGGAAGACGAGAGCCCAGAAGATGTAGGAAGATGTGGCGGATCCTGGGATTGGTGCGCATTTATTTGCGCGTCCCTGGGCTCCTTCAAGGGTCCAGGCGGGGATCAGACGCCACCCCGACCCGCATGGTTGTTGCGTTCACTGAACAGTCCTGGCGTTGTTTGCCAGACAGCCCATGCCATGCCCTATTTCGTCACCTGGTGCGTTTGCCACAGAGCCTCGCTCGTATGGGTGCTCTCTGTAAGGGTTGCCCTTCTGCCGTCTGAGGGAAGGAGGTAGGGGAGAGTGGTCCGAAAAGCTCTGCGCCTGCGCTGATCCACGCCAGGACGCCGAGCACGGCACCCAGGCGTCGCCGTCGTCGCCGTCGTCGCCGTCGCCGTCGCCGTCGTTGCCATCGTCGTCGTCGTCGTCTCCGTCGTCGTTTCCTGCGCTCTCCCCGACCCCCGCCCGGCTGGCCAGGAGCTGGGGAAGCATTGGGGCGCCCACGGCTACAGATGGGCTTGGGCGCACGACGGCGAGAACGAGGCCGCGCGCACGTCTCCTCTGCGTTGTGTCCTCGCTTTCCCTCCACCTCTCCAAAACTCGAGCATCTGCCACCTCCTGGTCGTGCTCCTGCGGCCGTCACGCGGTCTACACGCACGTGTGCGGATCGCCCGGCGCCGCTGGCGCTCCGCGGGCTCCCACCGAGTGCACTGGCCATCTCCAGGTCCCCAATCGCCCTCGCTAGCATTTCAGCATTTGGGGCTCCTCGTCGTTGTCGTCCTCGCGAGTCTTCTCCTCCGTGTGACTGCCTGCATGCAGGTGTGAATGCATGCGCGCCTGGCGTCCCCTGCGAGCCCCTTTCGCCTCCTGGCCGCCCAGCTTCGGCCTCGGATTCGGCGACGAGCGAGGCGGGGGAGTGAGAAGGAGAAGACCTCCTCAGAAGGCGGCGGGAATTCTCAGAAGCCCTCCGGCCTTCTGAGAGGTCTCTTTGTGTCGCCGGGGAAGGCTCAGAAAACTGCTCGGAAGGCTTGAAGGCTTCCGAGCCTTCTGGGAAGGCCGGCCCCTTCTTACTGTCCCCCTCGGCTTGCCGCCGACCCACTGCACCATTGTCGTCGTCGTGCCTTGTTCGGTTCTGCGATGCTTGCCGCAGCCGCGTCCGGCCGTTCGTGCCGGGCGCCATGCCAGACCGAGTGTCATGCCCATAGCTTATACGCCACGGCCTCCGGACACGACGCGATGAGCCCGCCCGTCAGCGGATGTCAGCATGTTACAGTGGGGGCCCATGCTTGCCTGCATGGTGCCCGTGCTTGCCCAGGCCAGTGCACAAGAAGCACCCTGCTTGCCTGCAGGGTGCCCCTGGGTTTCTTGGGTTTCGATGGTTTTGCTGTGGAGAGCGTGACGCTCCCACACCAATCATCTATGGATGTCCTGGGGTCGCAGGGTTGGGTTTCTTGTGGAAGGTTTCTTGTGGACTGGCCTTCACTGTAATCCCCGTCCCCCCGTTCTTCTCTCCCTTGCCCCCACGTTCCCCCTCCGCGCCCCAGCTCGGTCGCTGAGGCGTGACGCGTCAGCGGAGTGCACCTTGTAACTAACATGTCACACTTGCTCTCAAGAAACAGTACATAAATGTATACATATAGCTTCTAGATAATGTCAACACGTCTAAGAGTAGGCATTTGATATTTCACCTTTCGTGTATCCCCACCAACCCATCCAGAAGGGTTGCCCATGAGAGCTGACGGGAAGTGGGAGGAAGAGACGCATACAGTAAATCAAAGCGGGCAGCCATTGTGAACCATTAGTTGTGCGGAGGAGGAGGGGGAGGGTACTTGTGCTGCTGCTGCTGCTGCTGGCGCTGCGGGCGCTGCTGCTCCCTTGGGGTCTTCTTGGGGGTCCTCTTGGTGCTTGTTCGGAGGCTTTTGAGCTCCTCCCGTGGCTCGTGGGGCCCTCCTGGGGGCCCCTCTGGATCCCTGGAGGGCCTCTTGGGGCCATCTTGGAGAGCATTGGTCAACGGAGGGGCGGTCATCGATTTCGCTCCCCCCCCCCCTCAGTAGCCCTCAACATCGCCCCTTGGAGCCATCCTGGGGCCCCTGTGGAGGAATTTGAAATCCTTTTGGGGCTCTTTGGGGCCCTCTTGCGGCCCTCTTGGGGCTCACTTGGGGCCCTCTTGGGAGCCCTGGAGGGCCTCCTGGGGCCACCTTGAAGGTCGTCGGTCAAAAGGGGAGGGTCCCCGATCTGGGTCTCCCCTGTGACACCCGCTCTTGGGGCTCCCTTGGGCGCTCTTTGGGCGTTCGGGGGGGCCTCTTGTCGGACACCGGAATATATACATTACCAGTGTCGGACTGTTTTTCAATCCCACGCTTTTCTGATGGTCGGGGGCGACGTCGGGGTGGTGTGGTGTATGTTGTTATTTTTTGTCCAATGGAAGCAGTGGAACATGCATACACCAGAATCCCGTATACACCAGGATCCGCGTTCCTGTGCGAATGTTTGCGCAGGGTCGGAAAAAGCGTCGGTGTATAGAGTTCGTTTCCCTATTTGGGGCCCCTCTTGGGGCTCTCTTGGGCCATTTGGGGCCATCTTGAGGTCCCGAAAGCGCCTCGGGAGCGAAAAGGCGAGACGGCACACTATCGCTGATGTTGTTCAGGCTTGTGAAGGGCTTTGGCTTCTCGGGGGAGTCCTGGGGGGGGTCCGAGAGCACGTGGAGCCGTCTTGGAGAGGTATTTGGGGCCTCTTGGAGCATGTTGGAAGCAATACCTGGTGAGCCAGCTTCGGCTACTGTGAGCCATCTTGGAGCATCGGGCGCCATCTTCGGCCATCTTGGGCGCGCTGACCGCTATTGCCCCCTCCCCAAAACAAATCAGGGAGGGGAGGGGGGTAGGCTGCCCCTCCCCGAAGGGACGAGGGGTTTTGGAACACGAGAGTGCTCGTTAGACCACCTGCGCCCAGAAGGCTGGTGGGGCTCCAGAGATACCTTTGGGACGCACATCGCCGATACGATTCTGGGAGCGTCTGTACTGAACATCGTCTGTGCCCGTGAATTTTGCCAATGCATCAGATTGGTTCCAAAGTTTTGCATCCCGGGCACTATGCCAGTACAGTCAGCGCGGATGGTATGGCGGGGCCCTTTTTTCCCAAGGGCACTCTCGAATGCCTGCCTTCTCGGCCCATCCTTGGCCACTTTCGTGGGCCGCGCCCCGCTCGGAAAAGTCTTCGAGGTGGGCGCCCGAGGCCTTTGCATCCTCATCGCGCATCCTCTTCTGCGACGGGCCGACCGTACTTGCTCGCGGATCTTGGAGTCGCTTCGGGCCCGAGCGGACCCCTTGCCACCTCTGGGCCCCGCAGGGGAGGAGGATGAGAGAACAGAAGCAGGGGTGGGATAGGCAGGGGAAGGAGGAGCGGAGGAGGCGGAGGCGGAGGAGGAGCGAGCGACAGGTTAGGAGGAGGAGGAGGAGGAGGAGGAGGAGGAGGGGGGGGAGGGGGGGAGGAGGTGGAGCAGAAGGAGGAGGGAGGAGGGGAGGAGGAGGAGGAGGAGGCGAGAAGAGCAGAAGGAGGAGGAGGCGGGAAGGAGGAGAAGGAGAAGGAGGAGGAGGAGAAGGAGGAGGAGGAGGCGGAGGAGGGGGAGGAGGACCCCGCTCCAGACCCGGGCGAGAGCGGCGGCCAGGCGAAGAAGGGGGGGGGCTGGGTCGGCGGCGGGCCCCGGGGGGGGGGGGGCAGCGCGGAGGGGGGGGATCAGGGCCCTGTCGGCGGGCTCGGAAGACCCCCTGTCAGCGTTGAGCTGCACGGTCAGTGCCTCGCTCTCCTGTCGGGCCAGACGAACGGGGGGGTTTGGGAAAGGGGGGGTTACGGAATTTGCTGCACGCAGCTGGTTTCGGCCTCACCGAGGGGCCCATTCCTCGATACATGGCCGCCTCCGGCGCCAGGAGGCGCCGGGAAAAGCAGCTACGCGAGCTGATTTTTACCCCCCCCCTTTGCTATCCCCCCCTTTCGCCCGACCCGATCCTGGGGCTCTGCTGCGCTCCCGCTCGTCAGCATTCGTCACGCGTGCGGAGCTACGCTGTCGATACCGCGCTCTCCTGTGGCTCTGCCGCGCTCCTGCTCGCAGCGCGCACACCGCCAGGGGCGGCGGAGAGCTTGAGAGATCCACCTGCCAACAGTGTCATCGCAGTCAGGGCTGGACCTAAACGGTGTTCTTGCGATCTCGTGGGCCGTTTTCGTTTCGACTCCGTTTTGCGGTCAAGGCTGATGGAAGACGAAACGGAGGAAAACGAAAACAACACGAAAACGAAAAACATCGTGTAGGTTCAGCCCTGATCGCAGTATGGGAGAAGGAAAAACCACCATAAACATGAACTTGTGGCGCTCCGCGCAGATTTCTTGGATCCGCGCTGGGCCCCCTGGCAGCGCCTCCGGCGCCGCCCCTGGCGAGCCCCGCGCGCCAGGGAGGGGGGGTCCAGCGCAGATCCAAGAAATCCGCGCGGAACGCCAAAAGTTAATGTTGCTGGTATTTTTCTTCTTTTACGGAAGCTGCTACGCCTTCCCCAAAGACACGAACAACCTATCAGAAGGCGCGAGGGCTTCTGAGAGGTCCTGCCGCCTTCTGAGAAGGCCTTCTCCTTCTCATTCTCCCCCTCGCTCGCCGCCAATTGGAAGAGTCGTCAGGAGGAGGAGGAGGAGGAGGAGGAGGAGGAGGAGGAGAAGGAGGCGGAGGACAGGGAGGAGGAGAACGCGGAGGAGAACTAGGAGGAGGAGGGAGGAGGAGGGAGGAGGAGGACGAGGAGGAGGAGGAGGAGGAGGAGGAGGAGGAGGAGGAGAAGAACGAGGAGAAGAACGAGGAGGAGAACGAGGAGGAGAACGAGGAGGAGGAGAGGGAGGGAGGAGGAGGAGGAGGAGGATCCTGGAGCCACCCGCGCCCGAACTGCTGTTGCTGGCAGAGTGCGAGCGCGGGCGGCACGGGAGAGCTGGAGCGCGGAGGGGCCGGCAGGAGGGCCCTCGCCCCCTCCCCCGCCCCGCGCTTTCTGCCCCCCTCTCGCGGGCGCCTTCGGCGGCCGCGCCCTCCGACAGTGCTCCAGGTGTACACGCCGGTCGTTGAAAGTAGGGATTTTTGGATGCCCAAATCCTAATCTACTGTAGGCGCCTTCCTACTTCAAGGGTCGAGCGGTTTTCCTTCTTTCCTCCTCTTCAGGGGGCGGGTGGAAGCCCAATCTACTTCCAGCGCCTTCCTACTTCATGTTTGTACCTACTTCCGACCGGCGTGTAAGTCGGGCGTGCCACTCTACAGGAGGAATGTTGAAGAGTGGTCACCGGCGGCCCTCTCCCCAGGCCCCCAGCAGCCCTGCACCCCCAGCAGCCCTGCTCCCCCTCCGCCCCGGCTCTCGCGGAAGCCGTGAGCGGCCTCGCACCCGCGACGCCCTGTGTGGTGGGGGCGGCACCGCCTGCCCCAATGGAGACGCCGATTCCAGACAGTTCAGTCGGGCATGGCCTTCGACAGGGGAAGTATTCAAAAACGGCCAAACAACACAGTCTTGGGACGATGTTTCGTGTTCTGCTGGACTGTTTTGAGTATCTCTCAACCATGTTCTACGTATCTTCCAAATTTCGCCCGTAGGAGGACACGCCCGACCTAAGACCAGTTGCGCAGAGCTGGGTCAAAAAGACGCTGCCAGAACGGCTGGTTCCGCCTGCACGCCGGCGGCGTCCTCACGACCAACTGGGGCAACGGCACTTGGGACCGCACGTCGGAGTTGCCAACGTCATCTCGTCAAGGGAGGGGAGCAGGACGACGAGGAAGTCTATGATGAGGAGGAGGAGGAAGGCGGAAGTGGAGGGTGGGAGAGGGGGGATGATGTGGAAGGATAATGCGACAAGGAGTCGGAGGACAAGGCGGTGGGTGCACGGGGACGTGGTTTCTTTCCCATTTTTCTTGCATCAGATATATGTATATTTGTATATACATATATATATATATATATATAATCCATACATATTTAGTATCATATATATATATGTCTCTATGTATGTATGTGTATATGTATGTGTATATATATATATATCGAAGACGCCTACAGAGAATCACCGCTGCCCCCTTCCTTTTAGGATACGCACATGTGCTCAAACGTTTGGGCAACGTGTGGCCACACTATTGGACCATGCGTCCCCCCAGCCGTTGTGGGAGCCTTTCGGGGAACATGTGGGGTGAGGAGCAGAAAGATGAGCACAGGGAGGGAAGAGGATGAGGAAAAGGATGATGAGACCCCTTGGGGGCTTCTTCGTTCATTATTGCTGTCTTCTGGGAGCTTCCTGGGGGCCTGTTGGAACCTTGCACAAAAAGTGCGGATCATCCGCGTGAGGTTTTCCTTCCGATGCGTCCTGGACGCCAGCGCCGATTCCACCACGGCACACGGCCGCCCATCATCACGACTCAGACAGGCCAAGATTTCCGCCGTACAAAAACAAAGGGACATCTACCCATACTTTGAAGAAACCACAGGCGAGTAGGAGCGCGATGCTCACGTCGGGCTCTCCTCCGACGCTGTCGCAGTCCTGCGAAATTTGAAATGGTTCGAGAATTTCGACCCAGCAATAGAGATCCTCCACAGGCACCGGGTGCAACAACGCCCTGATCTGCTGATCCATCCATCCCACCAGGATTATTCACCACATGTTTTTGGCGACCCCCACACTGTACGACAACGGCTTCATGGCCAAACATGGAGATGGCGAGCTCGTTCTGCCGGCCACAAAGCACGTTGACGATATCGTAGCAGCAAGAATGCTTTACCAGAATGCCACCAAGTCGCGTAATTGCCGGACGCGCCACTCACCCGCTCGCGACGGTGGATTAGGTTCTAGACCAGAACGATTATCTCCAGGTCCTGAAACCAATCGGCAGTATCGAGCTCGTTGGCGAGTCCACCTGAGCTCGCCCCTGAGAGCCTGACCAGGCTACGCCACAGTCTGATCATGGCCTTGGCCTTCAACCTAATCGCCCGAATCGACTTGCCCGTCTGCGCGGTAGCACACAAGCGGCATGCGGCAGTTCTGACGTGCGGCTACATGCGCAAACCCAGCGCTTTTGTGAGATGGGCCCGGGCCACGCCGCAACGGATTCACGATCCACCGATAAGCTGCGCAGTCGAATTGGAGCACGCAGCGACTCAGCGTCCAGAAAGGAGCAAACATCAGGCGCCGACGCGGGACGGGCACTCTGAGGAGCCACCATCCTGCGCATGGGCGCCACGGACGCGGACGCCCAATGGGCATTCGTTGGTCGACAAGCGGCGCGCCGCACATTTAGTGGACTGGCACTCCAGGGCGCTCATGACGGGGGCGCGAGGCGCCTTCGCAAGTGAGCTGATTGCCGCGACCAGCGTGACAGGTCGCGGCCTCGCTCAGGCCGCCGCACTCCGCGAGTTGCTCGAGGGCCCGCGGGGCCCCGAAGCGGCGCGCCACCAGAGGGGCGGTCAGCAGCCCCTTGCGTTGCACATCACATTTAGCTGCCTGGATTTCACGGGCGCGGTCGCTGCCGTCGCGGCCAGGAGACCAAATCCCCTGCCAGACAATTATATGTTGGCGCGCGTGCTCTGGTTCCGTGACCTCCTGTGCTCGGGCCAGTTATGGGCCCTGAGCAGGGAGGGCGCGCGAGGCGCGGTCGCGGGCGGGCGACCGTGGGCAGCATGGACAGATCTGCACTTCACGACGTAGCTGGCGGCGCCCGCCAGCGGCCACGCGCGCGCGCGCCGCGCGCTGCCGCCCTCGATGCGGCTGGCAAACTCACTGTGCAATCAGTCAGGCCTGGGGCGCACTGTCTGAAAATTGAAATCGTCAATGCGCGGACTGCTTCGTGATCTGCCTCTCCGAACCACCTGTCATTCCTCGCCCTCATTTTCTGCTCGGGGTTCACCCTCGCGCGCGCCGTGGATGGGGCGCGCGTTTCAGCGCGACAGTCCTGGCAGTTGCCGGCTGGGTCCTTGGCGCGCGCGCAGAAGACGCAGATGCGCGCGTGCGTGCGCGAGAGGCGTTGGAGAAGCCACGATGGTCAGACAAGGAAGTCGATGTTTCTCGCCTTTTTTCTCGCGGGCAGACCGGCGCGTCGGCTGGGCGCGGCGCGCGGGGCCTCACCGCGCGGCCCGCGCGCCGGCGGGCCTGCGCGCGGGCCGCCCGACGCGAGCGGCTACGCGACGGCGGCCGCCCGCTGCAGCGCGCGCGGCCGCGCGCCGAGGAGCAGGCCGGGCCCCTCGGCCATCGACGTCGCCGCCGCGGCGAGGCTTTTCGAGGGCGAGCCCGTCAGCGTTTCCAGCGTGAGTGCAGTCCTCGGACGAGGCGCCCGCGGCGCCCGCGGGGCCGCGCAGCGCTTCGCGAGCATGCTCGGCCCGCCGCCCCCCCGCCTGGCCTCCCAGAGGCACCGCCTCCAATCGCTGCGGCGCCGCCGCCGAGAACGACGCGCGCCAGGCCCCGCCGTCGGCGGAGTCTCGTCGGCGCTCGGAGAGACTCTCCCACGAGGGGCATGTCCAGAGGTTCGTTGCAGGACAGCTGGCGCCGCGGGGACATCCGCGGGTTCGAGCCGCCGCCGCTCGATCTCGCAGCCGCCCGCCGTCGCCCAGTCGGCGCCGCTCGGCCGCCGCGACGTCTGGCCCCGCGCGCGCGCGCTGCCCACCGGCAGCAAGGCTGCGCCAGCTGCATCCCCGCACCTCCCCCGCCCGAGATACCGCCCGCAGCGCTCGGTGAGAGGCCGGCGCAGCGGCTGCCGCGCTGCGTCGATTGCGCAGAGGTGCGCGAGCCCCTCGGGGGCCGGCGCGCCTGGGCCCCCGCCCCAGGCGCGGCGGCGCGGAAGTGTGTGTTCACTGGCGCGGACATGGGGCCGATGGCGCGCGCCGCCTTCGGTCGCGAGGCTCGTCGCGCCGCGGGGCGGTTGAGCGACGCGCGGTTTTCCGATTGTAAGGTGGCCGATGGTGTTGCTAAACGCCAAGTTGTTTCAGGCGTGATCAGCCTGGTGGCATCAGGAACGGTTCGACTTCCGCAGGCGCCGGCAGTTGCGCGGCTTCGGCGCTTGGCCGGGCCGCGGCCAGGACGGCGCCTTCCGCGGACGAGGTGTCCCTGGCCAGCAAGAGCTGCCCTCGCAAGCCGGCTCCGAAGTCGCCGCGCCCCCCGTCGCCGCGGGTCGAGCGCGCGCCGGCCGCGCCCCTGCGGCGCCCTCAGCCGGGGCCCCCGTCGCGCCCGCCCGGGCAGCGGCGGGGCCAGGAGATGGGGCGCGGCGGCGACGCAGCCAGCGGTTCAGGGAGGCAGCCATCTCTGCCGCGTGCGTTCCGGCAGCGGACCAGGGGCGCGGCGCCGACGCGCGGGCAAGCAGCAGCCGCAACGCGCAAGGACAACGGCATGAACGAGAGCAAGAACAAGAGCAGCCCCCATGGCGACAAGCCCGAGAAAAAGGTGCGCCGCGGGTGCGAGAAGGTCAAGCGCCGGCGCGCGGCCGCTGCTACGGCGCGCGCAGCGGCCGGCGAACGCGACGACCTCGCGTCTTCGCTGGGCAGCGCTGCCCCAGGCGCGCCCAGCGATGGGGGTGGGGGTGCCGAGAGGCCGCGGCGGCCCCCAGTCTCAGGGCGACTGACGTGGCGTGCCCGAGGCGACGATGCAAAAACGAGTTCGCCCCCCTTGAAGTCATCCTCCATCCCCCACCCTCGCCATCTCACCCGGTGAAGGCGTCGTCCCTACCCAGCCTCGCCACCCCGCGTGGCCCTGGGGCCATCCACCGCGCCCGATTCTCATGACAGGCTTTCAGACCTTGTCGTCTGCGACTGGGGTCATCCAACAGACGCAGATGCGGCCTGGCCGACCGCGCGGCATTCTTCTTCGCACGAGTCCCTCCAGAGCCACCCCGTAAGAGCACGAGCAATCTCCCCGACAGGGGTGAGCCCGCTTCCCGCCGTGCCGCGTTCGCGATCGTTCCACACCGCGACGGGATACGCCATTGAGTCAAGAATGCGCCTGGGGCTGGAGAGTTCTGGTCCCCTATCGTGCGGTCCTGCGTCTCCGCCAGAGCTGTCTCCAGATGCTCTGCCGCCGCTTGCCTTCAGCTCCGACGCGCGCTAAGCTCGTGCTGGTGAATCAAGAGCCCGCTATATATATACACATTATTATGTCGCGATGTTTTCTCTCATCAAGCTTCCAAGCCCCGTATGTCTAGTTTCTGGATGTCATTTTCCTCATCGTCGTCCTCTTCATCATCCTCCTCCCCCTCATCCTCGTCCTCTTCCCCCCCCTCCCCCCTTATTTCTTCCTTTCGGGCAACCGAATCACGGATTCCTTTGCCCTTTGCGTCTAGTCCTGGACGGCAGAGCTTGATCAGTCCATTGGCAGACCTTGGAAGCAGACGATGAGGAGCCAAAGCAGGAGCAAGAAAAGGATAAATATTGTGACGGCGACCCGTTTTCTGTAGTCACATTGTAAAAAGAGGTGTTTAGGCATTGTGATGACATTTGTCGTATAAGTTGTCGTGAGAGCCGTGGAAGATGTAATGCTGGCTGGAACATTGGCCGCACAAGGCATTATAGTATGACGTGAAAGGGTACATTTGTATAACCAGCCGCAAGATTCGTAGTCGGAGTTGTCGCAAGAGTTTATGTAAACAATTGTTGTGGGAACCGTGGGGGCGTAGTGCCAGTGAACGTAGCCAGAGATGAAATATGGTCTCGTCCAAGAATTGGAGCTAGGAGGTAGTAGTCAGAGTTGTAACGAGATCCGCAATGGCTTTAGTACGAGCTGCAGCAAGATCTGGACGGTTGGTTTGGTCAAGGGTCTCTAGAAGGAACTGCAGTAATACGTGTTGCAAGGTCTGTTGTCGGGGCTCTAACGGGAGCTATACAACGTGATGTATAAGTAGTTGCGGCACGGGCTGCATTCGGATGTGCACCAGCAGGTGTACTTTTCACCGTCGTAGGAAGTGCAGGGAGACTTGCACTGGAAACGGTGCAGGCTTCTGTAGTCGGATTTCAAGCATTGCTTGTACTAGAACATGTAGAAGGGACTGCTGGTGCAGTTGTAGGAAGAGCTACAGTGGGACCTCCGCAGCTGGCCGTGGTAGGGGGGGTTCCATGTGCTTTCGTCGGGGCCGTACTGTTGGCAGTGGCTGCAGTAGCGAGAGCAGAACACTCTTGATGTAGGAGTTGTATTGGGATTGGTGCCGTTGGCTGCAGGGGGATCTGCAGTGGGAGCTGTAGCCAGGGATGTAATAGAAACGAACCAGACGTTGCAGCGGGAACTGTATCAGTACTTGTGATAGGAGCTGTAGTGGGGGGCTGCGGGTGTTTGGGAAATCATTGTGGTACGGGTTGAAGTAGGAGCTGCGCTGTGCGATACAGTGCAAGCTGGACTGAATTGTAGAAGGCATTGTTGTAGGAGTTGTAGTCTGAGCTGCGTTGCTGGTTGCGATCGGAATTGCCGTGATCAGTACACTGGGAGTTGCAAGGGGTTGCAATAGATGCATTATCATTATCTGTAGATGTAGAGAGAGGGAGAGAGAGAACACGAGAGGTAGAGAAAGAGAAAGAGAGAGACTAATAGACGGAATCAAAGCGATAAAAGGGGGAAAGAGAGAGAGAGAGAGAGCGAGAGAGCGAGAGAGAAAGAAAACACACACACAAAACAAGAGAGAGAGAGAGGGCAAGCAAACGGGAGTCCCGCCGACAGCCTGCTACTGCGGTAGCCGAGGCCGCTATCGCGCTCTTGGTGGTGGTGCGCACCTTGGGGAACGGGGGATGTTGAGCAGGCGATACGCCATGTCTCTTTGTGCCCCGCACGGGAAAAGGGCCCAGGTCGGCGAAGCCCCTGTTGGCGGCCAGGGGCCAAGGGTTGACCGCTGAGCGGCTGGCGAACGACGGGGCGCCCTTCGCGCAGGCAGGCCCCGATGGCGCGCGGCCGCGCGGGCCATCGGGAGGCAAGAGGTGGGGCCTTCGGCCGTGGTGGAGGCCCCGCGCGGGCCTGCCTGGCACCGAGGAGGTCACGCAGTGCTGGGACGGGCGACGCCCCGTCGGGCGGAGGCAGGAGTCGTAGGGAGGCGAGGGCAGCTCGGGCGCGGGGAAGGCGACGCATGAGCAGGCCCTGCCACGACGTCAGGGAGCGAACTTTTGCGCGGAGGCGCGGTGGATGGGGGAGGCTCACGTGGTCGCATGACGCCTGGAGTCTTGCGGCTCGACCCCGGGGCGCCACGACGTCAAGGAGCGAACTTGGCGCGAAGGCGCGGTGTATAGGAGGCTCACGTGGTCGCATGGCCCCTGGAGTTTTGCGGCTCGACCCCCGGGGCAGGACGCGGGGCATGAGGCGGGCGGGCAGCAGCCCTGCTGGCGAGGTGCCTGGCGAGGTCCGCGCGTCGGTCAGTGCCTCGCGTGGGCGTTGGTTCAGGCTCGGGGATACGTGCCTGGCCAACGATGCTCGGCTCGGTCAGCCGGCAGAGGAGGGGGCCAGGCCAGAGGCACTTCTGGCAACGGCTAACAGCGGGAGGCCCACTGGCCAGGCCGGCGCGGCGCTCGCGCGTGGGCGCGGGTGAGGCTGGCGCACGGCCGCCACGGTGCGGCGCGGAGTGAGCCTGGCGGCAGCGGCGGAGCCCTGGCCCGTGCGTCGGGCTCAGCAGCCGGAGCGCGGTTGCCCGTGGCCTGGGGCGACGGGGAATTGGTGTCGTCGTTCCTGCTGCCCCCGAGGCCGAGCGTGTGTTCCTCGTCCTCGGGACCTGAAAAGTGGTGCAAGTTGGCGTCGGTGGTGCGGTGGTGCGGTGGCGGGGCCAGCTCCCCAGTGGGCATGATTGCGGTCGGTGCCCTTGGGCCGCCACCGTGGCGCGGGGCAGCGACAGCCGTGCTGTTGGAAGGTTTTGAGCTTGGTTCACTGGAAGGCACGACTGCGGTCGGTGCGCTGGGCCAATGGTTGGGGGTGGTTACGCCTGGTGGCATCGGGGTTGGGCAGTGGGAGCGTCGAGGTCGTCAGTACTTCCGCCGAAATGGGACCTCGTCTTCGTCGCCGATGGTGTCGACGAGGCGTTTGCCCATTCCCAGAGGTCGTCGAGATCCTCGGGGATGCCCCTCCCCATGTCCATTCGCCGTCAACTCATTCACTCTACGCATCACCCCCATATTCATCGTCATCCTCACCCTCAGTCTCGTCACTGATCATATTTTTCGTCTGTCTCCCCTTCATCCGCATTTCTCCCGTCACGTCATCCTCACCTCGATCGTCACCCTAGCCCTCCTCTCCCTATGCCGGCACCCTCCGCTACCGGCATCGTCTTGACCGCCCTCGTCGCGACAATCCTCCCTCCCCGCCCTCTGTTTCCTGCTCCCTGTTCCCATTTCTGTCCCTGCGGAGGGGCCTGAAACTCTCCATACCAGCCATTTAAGACCCACCCCCTCGGAGGAGCCTCCCCCGGACCAGCGATCCAGACGACCCTAGCTTTCAAGACAGCTCAAAGTCAGACCCCCCCCTTTTCTGTCCCCTCTCCCTTCCGTCAAAGTATTATCCTTCTCATCATCAGTTTTTTTATTGCTGCTATGAGTATTATTCGTATTATCACTATCATTCATTATTCGTGTCCTGTTCCGCCGCCATCATCTTAAGTTACCTCCCCCACCGCTCCCCCCAAGGAGCTTCTGGAGCGCAACTCCACGGAGGTCCTGTTGGTCACTTTCTGCTCGGTGGAGCACGCCCTGCGCTTCCAGGAGAGGAGGAGGAGGAGGAGGAGGAGGAGGAGGAAGAGGTGGAGGTGGAGGTGGAGGACCAGAGCAGACCAAGGATTCATCAGCGAAGCTGCAGCACACCATCCCGCAACTAACCCCCTCACAAGTCCATGCACGTCTTTCTTTTTTGTTCAGTACGGCGAGCAACCCACTGAACGATTAGCCCGTGTCATTCAAACGCGCGCCCACATGGGCATGCCATGCAAACGAGAGCCCCGTGTTGAAAAAGGATACGTCTCCATCGTGTAGCTGAGATAAACTCGAAGAGCCAGGATCACAAAGTTCAAGGATCTGTTCAGCGATGGTGACCCCTCCTTAGAAGGAGCCACTCTCTATCTCAGCAACCGCTGCGCAACTTTAATATTTTGATCAGAAGGTGCTAACAAGTCCTCAATCGATACCCCACCCTTGAAAAGAGACCACCGTCCATCAGTGAACCAATAGATGTCTGGCCATCGAGCTCGAGGAAGTGTTGACGACGCCCAAGGCGAATCACCGCCGCCCACTGCCTTTTTGAACATGCCGATGGGGCCAAACGTTGGTCCTAAGCTTGGACAAACTATTGGACTATGTGTTCCCCCAGCCGCTGTGGAAACCTTTGGGGGGGACATTTGGGAAAGGAAGACAGAGGAGTAGAAGAGGAATGATGCCTCTTGGGGGTACCTTGGGGCCCTCTTGGAGCCCCCTGCGGGCTTCCTGGGAGCCTCTTGGGGGCCTGTAATGGGGCTTCTTGGGGGCCTCCTTGGGCCTGCTTGGGGCCCCTGGGATCCTCTGAGGGCCCGCTTTGCCCTCGGAGGCTCGGGCGCTTTGGGGCAGTCTCGGAAGCCTCGAGGCCGTCTTGGGGCCTTCTTTCGAATAGGGGATCGACTACATACTTCATTTACCCCAAAGCTGATCTTCCGTCGAATCCACGAACGAATGCGTAGAATGTTCGACGAAGCCTTCTACGCAGTTTTCGTGGACTCGGCGAACAGATCAATTCCGGGGTAGACCAATTCTGTAGTCGATCCCTTGTTCGATTCAAGGCCCGTCCTGGAGCCGTCCCGGGTCTGGAGGGGGGGGTCGCCACCGACGGAGGCGTCCGAGGTGGCCTAGGATGGCTCCAGGGGGGGCATCATTGGCATCGCTCGGGCTGGTGCATTTGTCCTTCGGCGAGGACCATCGTGGAGCATCCTTCATCATTTCGCGAAAAAACACACGCACGAAACCGAACAACAAACACAGGGAATGGACGTCCGAGCGATGGCCAGGGATCGCAAAGAGAGTTTCCAAGATTGCTCATGCTGGCGGGATCGATCCGTGAGGGTCCTTGGGCCCGAAACTTTGCAGCATCGCCCAGTGCAGGCGGCTCGGATTAGTAGGTCGACCCTGCCAGGTCAAGGGTACCCTCGTGTCTTGTGTCTTGCGACCCATGCCTCCTGCATTTATGTGGCAACGTGGCCCTCGGACGGGTCTTGTGTCCTCTCGCGTGTCCTCTCCAATCAAGTCCGATTGTGTGCGAATATTGCAAGGCCAGGACAGCAGGAAGGCACGGGCTCTCGGCCTTTTCCAGCGCACAACCGCTCGGCATCCGATGTCCTGGGCTCGGGGCCCCCGAGAGCTCCTACCTCCAGAGCAGGGCTGGACCTAAACGGTGTTTTTTGTACATTTCGTGGGCCGGTTTCGTTTCGATTTCGTTCTGCGGTAAAGGCGGATTCGAGACAAAAGCGAGGGAAAACGACAACAAAACGACAACGAAGAACACCGTTTAGGTTCAGCCCTGCTCCAGAGGCACTTTTGGCACCCGGACCTCAAGGAACGCTGGAGATAACTTCGAGCCTGCTCCAGGAGGCCCCCCAGAGCGCCCCTAAGGCGGCTCCGAAGGGCAGCGGAGCACCCCCCAGAGAGAGCCACGAAGAGGCCACACTCCTTCTCAGTTTTTAGGCAGCACAACGCGTTTCGCCTTCTCACGGTTTTGCTTCCGATGACCCTTCGAGTCCTACGAGTGTGGGTTACAACGACTGTTCCTTCTAACGTGTTGCTACAACAAACATGTAGCTCAGCTGCAAAATCGATACATCGTATTGACAACACCCCAGTTACATACAACCACATTCACATGCGATGCACGTGATGACGGCACTAAAAGAAATCACGATACCGTTGTATACATCGATTTGGACACGTGATATGAGAACATTGGCCCGCTGGCAACTCACTTCTAGGTGGCCTAGCGCCAAAACACAAAACAGGAGGGCTTCGCGACACCCCAGGACGCCTCTGAGACAGCCCAATAGTACTCCAAGACTGCCCAAGACGGCGCCCCCGACGGCTTTGGAGGCTCCTGAGAGCGCCCAAGATCGCCCGAAGACGCCTCCAACCTCCAAGAGTCCCCCAAGAGCCCCGGGCAAGCCCTCGGGAGGCCAACACACCATCTAAAAACCTAGTAAACATCTATTGTTTGTTTTCCTTCTTTTTTTTAAGAAAAAAAAAAACCTAGTAAACATCGACGGTGTTTGAGTTCTCGCATTTTCGCCTCCGATACCCTGCCGAGGCTTGCGCATGCCCCCCAAGAGAGCTCCAAGATGCCCCCAAGAGGCGTCCCGAGAGGCGCGATAGGTCCCAGACGCACCCGCGAGGCCCCAAGAAAGCCCCCGAAGCGCTCCGAAGAACCCTCTGGAGGCGCCCAAGACGTCCCAACAGGATCCTGAAAGCCCCGAGAGCGCCCCAGAGGCCCCCAAGAGGCGCCGAGGAGCCTGCAAGAGTCCCCAAGAGGCCCCCACAGGAGGCCCCAAGGGCTCCAAGGAGGCGTTCGAGTAGCGAGAAATCGGTGGATAGACAGAGGGCGAGAGGGAGGGCGGTGGGATTCCGCCTGCGGCACTGGCGGGGGCGCCCACATGCGCTTTCCCGTTCTTTCGCTACACGCTGCTGCAGAGGGTTGGAGCCTTCGTTGGAAAATTGTTTGATGACGTGTTACTTCCAGGAGTATCCTTGTGGGGGTCCACGGCCACTTAGGGGGACACGCCCGACCTAACCTTAGCGACGGCGGGATCATTCCTCTCGCGCGCCCACGGCGAGACACCAGGGGACACCATCGGGACACTGCGAGTCACCACGGCAGGACACCCCCAGGCCCCGGCGCCCACCGGAGGGCCAGATTCCAGAATCCGAATCGCCCTGGTGATGGCGGGATGATTCTTCTCGCGCGCCCACGCAGCTTTGCCTTGCCCCGGCACGCGCGACACGAACACGAAATCGGAGCCGATATCCCGGTTGGGGGGCTCTCCGTTCCATTGCAACCTCACCCCCTGACTTCCGATACGGCACCGCGATATTCTACCACATAGGCTGCACCACAGCTGCAGCGCCACACGAATTGTACCACATAGATTGCTCAACGTAGGTTGCACCACCCAGCATGCTAGGAGACAATGCTCGGGGCCCACGCTGGCTGACGTGAGCAACGACTGCGGGACAACCACACGGGACAACTCGCGCGCCATTGCACGCGGCTGATGACGAATCGTGTTTGTCGAATTTGTTTGTGGCCGATAGCCCCCGCTCTCATGCACAAGCAGTTTCGCTTCGCCCTTGTGACGCGAAGCGAATCGAAGCCAAAATGCTGCCCTAGTTGATCTAACCCCCTCCTCCAATGCTCCATCGATCCACAACGTGGGTTGATGTGCTGCAAGGGGTTCGACTATTAGTACACCGTGCGTGATCAGATGGACAGGCGTACCTTGATTGAACGTGTCACTGATACCAGCATTGAAAAGGCGAGGTGGAGGAGAATGATTGCCTTGCACAGGACGTCGGGAGTACGGCTGGGGCCAGTTTCGACATGGTGTCCAAGAGGCGGTTGAACCAGCAGCCTGGCATTCGCGATGATATCCGACGAGGCGGGTATCTTCTCCGCCCCTCTTTCTTCTCCCCCTTCTTCGTTCCGCTCTCCACCATCATCCATCATCGCCACTCCTCCTTATCATTTAGTCCCGCTTCCCTGTCTTCTCTCCGTCCCTCCCTCCTCCTTCCTCGTCTTGCTCGTCGTCGTCGCTGCTGCTGCCGTCGTCGTCACCGTCTTCCTCATCGCCTGCACCCGAGGGCCCAGGCGTGCTTTGGGATTGTGTGAGAGATTCGTGGATCACTGGACATCAGTATCATGATGTTCATCAGTTGGACAACAGGGTAGTGTTCAGTGATCGCCCTCCTGAGGCGATTTGAGGGTGTTGGAGTGGCGAGGGGCATTTGACTCAGGCTTGGCGAGTTTTGCAGATTGGCTCGGACTGTGCGAAGGAATGAAGCAGGTTGGCTGGTATGGAATGAGGGGGTGACATAAGCGAGGGAACATACCTCACCCATCTCCCTCTCTCTCTCTCTCTTTACCTCTCCCTCTCTATCTCCGTATCGTTCTCTATGTGCCTCTCTCTCTCTTTCGCTATGTCTCGCTCTCTCTTTTTTTCTCTCGCTCTCTCTCTCTCTCTCTCTCTAGTTATCTCCCGCTCTTGCTCCCTGTCTTTTTCTCTCTGTGTGTGTCTCTCTCTCTCTGACCCTGTCTCCATCGTTCTCTCTCTCTCTCTCTCTCTCTTTCTCTGTCTCGTTCGCTGCTTCTCTCTCGCTCTCATCTCTCCTCTCTCTCTCTCTCTGTTTGTTTGTTGTTCCTCTCTTTCTCTCTCTCTTTCCCCCTATCCAGCCGCCTGCGGCAATTTCTGCTGTCGTACCAGTGCAGCAGTATGTGGCGACGCTCTCGTTTCAACTCCCCGAGGGGCTATCATGTGGCCAGCCTGGGCCGACTTGGGGCTGCCTTGGTCTCCTGTGGGGCCGTGCTGGTGCCCTTTTTGGGCTGTCCTTGTTACCTCTGCGGCGATGTTTGGTTTGGGCCCGCTTGGGGCTGTCTTGGGCCGTCTTGGGAGCCTATGGGTTCTCTCATTGGGCTCTTTTGGTTTCTCTGTTTTGGCTCCGACAAGGCCCTCTTGGAATAATATTGACATTGAGCCCGTTCGTGGAGTCCTCTTGCGGGCTGCTGGGCGCGTCTTCAGGCAATGCCTGGCCATTTTGGCGGCCTTGGTGGCCTTCCTGGGTCGTAATGGAAGGCTTGGAGAGCCAGGGGGGAGGTGCACGCGGGCGGGTGTGGATACGCGGGAGGGGGGAGCAGCCTCTAGAACATTTCCAGAACCCCCTTATCAGACAGCTCTTAGGAGCCTGGCACGCCAGAACGTGCCAGCGAGCTTTTTTTTGTTTCTCTCTCTCTCTCTCTTTTTAGTTGTTTCTACCTCGCTCTCTCTTTTTGTTTTCCCTCTCTCTCTCTCTTTTTGTTCCTCGCTCTCTCTCTGTCTCTCTCTCTCTCTCTCTCTCCCCCCGCTCACCCCCTGCTCCGTTCCTCCGCTCCTTTCCCCTCCATGTTTCTTCTCCTCCAGCACCCAGGATCGCGGACGATTGGAAGCCGTTTATATTTCGTGCAGTTGCCACGTCGAGGTTTCTTCCCTCCCCTTTTCCTTTCCTTCCTCGGCATCGCTCGGACGTGTGCATGTTTCCTTCGGCGAGGACCATCGAGGAGCATCCTTGACAATTTGGCGAAACACTCCACAGACGAAAAACCAAAGAAAAGCACGCGGCATGGACGTCCGAGCGATGGCGAGCTTCCAGCCTCTCCCTGCCCCGCTCTCCCCATTCTGATGGGCCTGTTTTCCACCACCACCACCACCACAAGTGGGAGGAAGAGGGGGCCCTCCTCCTCCTCCTCCCTCCTCCTCCTCCTCCTCCTCCTCCTCCTCCGCCCTCCCCCCCTCCAACTTGTGGTGGCGGTGGTGGAAAACAGGCCCATCACATTCCCCCGCCCCTCCTCCTGCGCCCGCCACCCCCGACCCCCCCCCCCCAAGGTTGCCACGTCGAGGCGCTGGATCCCGGGGCTCCGGCAGCTGGCACCACGCGCGGGTGGCCGCTGCGGGCCGGCGGCAGCGTCGTCGGCGATGCCCTCGGCGCTCGGTTCGGGCCGGGCGAGGAGGAGGAGCAGGAGGAGGAGGAGGAG